TCCTCCTGCACGCATGCACAACTCACTCTATTCGGATCATTAGTCGCTACTGCTAGGTGACTCCTGCCAGTTGAAAATTCATAAAGCATATCTAGCAGAGTGGTCTCCATATCACAAATCTGCCAAAAATGAATCGCTTCGCTCCGCCCTCACCAAGCTTGACAACCCACCATAGGCTCTAATAAATCTGTGTTTCCTATCCGAACTTCATCTCCAGGATTTAAGGTAATCAACCGTTTAACAAGCAGCATGCCATGCACCTGTCCAACGACCTCATTCAGAAGGTCCAAGGTTCCATTCCCACAGCGCGTGTTTTTACATTGTGTTTATGGTCCTGATAGATCGGCAATCGAGAGTGTCCCTTCTCCACTATATCCTGTAGTGTCTTGGCATCTAGAGGTTGATCAGCTGAGTACATGGCCACCTAATTTTCAGAAACCGTGCCCCACTGTAAATCGATTTCAAAGTGGAATATACAGGTAGCCATAGCCATCTGCAGGCAAGCCTTCGCGTGGAATAAACATGCTAAACTCCCCTTACTAGTAGCACACAACAATGACACAGCTCGTAGAAGTCGCTCGTGAAATCCGGGTGAGCTCATATTAATCTCCCAGTATTTGGCGACCCCCCTCACTACCTGATCCAAGGGCGTCATCACATCCTTCACCCTCAAGCGTTGTAGTTCTAGTGCGCCTTGCATCATTCGGAGCTCTTCCTTTGTGATGCCTCCACGGGAATGCAATTGTACCTGCATAACGGCAAGAGGGGAATAACCAACTCTACGTGGTAAACAGGTCTAGTAGGGAACTTTCATTCTAGTTTAAAGCCCCGATGAACCTCGTGCCCGCACCCTGGGCTGGACCACATTCACAAGCAGTTCCATAAATACCCTCACCCTCTCAAGTATACACAGCAGCATGCTTGTTGTCATCATCATCAACAACAAAGGTATCACAAGTACACGTCTATTCACCTCGATTCGAACCCACGCCCTCCCCTAGTACACGATGATGGACTTCACCTCTCCCTGTTGGACCGCCTCCTCCAGTTGTCGTGTGAGCATCCGACGGAGACGATTGGTCGCTTCCTCCTGTCTCGATATCAATCTCATCGGTCTGAGGCAAGTACCACCTTCAAGCTGCACTGGAGAATTGCTTTTATGGAGAAAATATATATTCGAAAACGACCAGAGAAATCTTTGATAGCCACCAAATATCGTCAAATCACCCTCACCAGGGTTCGAACCCGGCACCTCAACATTACCTCATAACACTGATGTAAATTGAGCGAAGCATTGAACTCCGCCTTATTATACCGCCCTCTATGCTCCTCCCCTAGCATCTTATCGAGGCACCAAGCGACTGGTCCAGCAACAGGGTAGAGGACCACCATAAAAAACCTGGATCAAACCCCGGCGGTAGAGACATTTCTACACAGCCTAGTGGCCTTTCGCGGTTATACAGGCATCACAGTAAAAGATCTTAGTATTACAGGAGAGAGAGATCCCGCCTCCCGTGAATTTTTTGGGGTGTGAGGGAATTGAACCGTATAAGGGAATCACTCCCATACTCCATTGTACTGTTCTTTCTAGATAGTTAAACCTCGCCAAGCATGGACTCCAGACTCGAGGAGTTATGACTATAGGGAGAGATCGGTATAAAGAGAGACGTGCTGGCAGCAACCATTCACGCAGTGTTCCCGCCGGCAATGCATGGCCCCACTTGGCCATTATCATTTGGCTGGGGAACGGTAAAGCTGGTGGGGACGCCACTGCTATTTCTGCAAATACTGCAGAAATGTAATCCATCCACATTCTCCCCCCAATAGACGGTTATTTTCCTAGCATCATAAATCGTCGATTATGAGTGCTACAACTACCATGGGAGAGGGGTCGTCGAGAGCTCCAAAGTGATGCCTCGTACACCACATACAATTCAAATATTCTCACGCGCCACGAAATTACAGGACTTTGGACTCTTCTTCCCGAAAAACCTCGTAGATATAAATCCACAATGCACCCATCCCATAGACGACACAGAAGACGAAGGACCTTAGCATTCCACAACGAAGATCAAGGAGCGAGCCCAGGTTCGAATCCCAGTGCTGACGTTTCTCCCATATTACTTCACTAAAGGGGCCAAAGCCGCTCCAATAGATAATTGATCTGGTCCTGTAAACACAGCAGACGGTATAATTTCACTGAATACCAATGCCTGATGCAATCGAAGCAAAATTACTCACCGCGCACAGCTAAGATTTTAACTAAGACTCCTCCTACGCAAGTAAAACATTCGGTCATCCGATAACCTCAGCCAT